GTCAAATTTGTTCACAGCGACGAGATTTCATAGGCATTCTTAAGGATGTCAGACGGGTTTTTCTTGTTCATGGTCGCAAAGTACATAGCCCGAAGACGAGCGTAATGCCAAGGGGTGACCTGCACGCCTCTTGCCTTGTCCTTTCGCGAGTTTTTCCATGTTCAGTTTAAAGGCCTCCACAGCAGCTTCTGACTCGAGCTTCTTATACTGGTACGGACTCGGTAAAGTGCCGAACTCACGCTGATAACAGCATCGCTGAACTGAAACAACAACGAAAGCTGTAAGTACCGCTCCAGCTAGCAAGAGCAACCCTGCCGTCTGTGAATTTTTTCCCGCGTTCGCGTAATCTGCTTCGATTTGTAACTTTTGCGCGGCTGAGGCATTGATTAATTTAGCTGCTTTCGTTCCTCCGAGAGCGGCGCAGATGTAATAGTCACGCTGCAAGAGCGCCCAGAAAATCCATATGAACCCAGACAGAGAACTTTGGAATACGATTTCCAAAAGAGCTTTGCTGCAAGGCCATCTTGGAAACAAACAACAGCAGTACCGTTTTGCTCCTCGCTTGTACGGACCTTCGTAATAACAGCATCCACGAACATGATCCCAAAATTCGCTGTGAAGAAAAATCGTCGCCATAAACAAAAACAAAGCAGGAATGATGAAGAAACAGCTGGCGTAGAAAACAAAGTTGTCTGGAGGACACTGGAAAAAACCTTCACTCTGTACACGGCATTCAGGCCAAACACCAGCAAGGCGACTGTAGTGTTTTTTATGGCACCTGAATTGTTTTCAAAGGCCGATTTCACATTTGTTAAAAGCGAACTTAGCGGGAGCGCCATCTTCTATTTAGGCGAGACTAATTTATTCAAGTTCGTCTAATGGTTCGTGTGTCTCAGATTTATTGTCCGATCTCGCATATCACGCGACCAACAATAGAAACCACGGAACGAGGAAGAGTTCCAATTTTTGACGATAAAAGTCAAGAATAGAAAAATATGGGTATAATTCTTCGTCCCTGACTTTATCGTTTTCAATCGTATGAGCGCATTAGCTCAAAATGCAAAACAAAAAATCATTTAAAAAAATAATTTGGTTTTTCAATACTCATTGTTCGAATGATCACCTTTGACAGTTACTAAGGACTCGAAGTGTGTATTAACTTTTGAGACCATGACCTCTCTAAATAGCAACGATCCTAGGTTACCGACAGTTTGGGATTTTTAACAAAACTGTCAAAGAGTTCTGTGATCCAAAGATTTCGATTACTATTTTCTTACAAGTTACTTACAAATAGTAAGCTGCAACTTAGTAAACCGCAATGTGCGGGAAGTTGCATTTGTAAACTCTAAAAGTTTTGTTATTTTTGTCGAGAAAGGGGCGATGATATTAGCGTTACTTATCAAAGATTGTCACACAGACTAGCAAAAAAGAGTTGCGGTTTGTCGACAACAAAATTGATGCTTGTGTTATCGACGAAAACACTCTTTTTTTAGAATGTTATTTTCCGACTCACGGAGTGAATATTCTTCATACAATAAGCCCAAGGCCTCTGTTTGAACTTTCTCGTCAGAAAAACACTTTTAATTCTTTAACTTAGAATTTACGCCTCCTTAATCTTTAAATAACATTTTTTTATAATACATTGCATGTCTGTATGTATATCATTATGTTTTTTTTTTTTTCTGGCAAATACATAAGTAAAATTCTTACTTTTCTGCCGATTTGAGCCTGACAAAATTCTTGTCTTATCCTTAAATTATAGCTTTTTTTCCATTTAGAATGTATTGGGGTATCAACTAGGTATACCTATCGATAGAGTGCCAACGAGGAAATCATGCGTATTTTGCTTAGGAATGAAATTCCTTTTTTTCCCATTTGACCGTTTCTTGGTCCCTTCCTGTTACAAGGATTATTTTCTTGAAAAGTTCTCAGATTCAGTCTGGTGGCTTTACAAACCTGCTATGTAAAAGTGTGAAGTGCCTTGAAAGAATAAAGTCAGCTTTGCAGAGGAAGCGATCGGGAATATTATTAAGTCCAGCTACAAATCTACTGTCGGTTCGGTTTCACATTGTTGATAAATATTTGCACAGTTTAATCATTTAAACCTCCTTTCAAATTTCCCGAGGCTTTTGTTATCGGATTGAAACTTAGAATGATTCGCTGGGCCATCTGAAATGTTTTCAAGGACATGCGATGTACGGCACGTCGGTATTTAATTTTAGTTCATTATTTTTATACTGAACTCGGCCAGGTTTCGAAAATAATGGCGTTGTTTTCTTTTCCTTTGTCGTTCGCTTTAGGCTTGTAATTCGTTTTTGTTCTCATTGTTTTCGTTTGCTGGTTAGATTTTTTCCCCAACACCAGATTTTCCAACAGAAGCGACTGCATTCTTCGTGTCAAGCTTCCCTTATCTCCTCGTGTAATCTGATCCTTTTTAGTGGTGAGAATATTGCTTACTGCACATAGAACACTTTTGCTGTTTTACAAACTTCTCTTCGTTAAAACTTAACATTATGGCCCCTAAAATTAATAGAATATATCAAGTGCTCATGTCTCTTGACTGCAGTGGCCGGGTTTGACGAAAAAATTTAGGTAAATAAACACAGGAAGTCACGACGGCGGGAAGTGTGTGAAATTTTGTTTGTTATTCAGCTTGAGCCCGTGCGCCAGGTACTGCCTTTTGATTGGTTCACAACTGACCACTTGGTCTCAGGGGAATCTACATTACGTTACACTTTTTTCAGTTCGATCGAGAATTTTTCTGCCTATTGACCAGTCTTACGCTGCTCTATTCTGCTGCCGCCTCGCCATCCGAGCGTCTTCGCTCGGATGGCTCGTTGGCAATCATATTTAGTACGGGTTTTCCCATTTTGTTGGCTAGTTTTGCCGTTTAGAGAAAGGAATAAGTTAAGAATCGAGTAAGGGCACCTATCGCACTTGAAGCAGATATGAAAAATATGGACATTGATATTTGTGTTGTTTCGGAAACACATCTGAAACCAGACATTCCCGATGCTATTGTGAATATACCAAATTACTCGATTCTCAGACGAGACAGGAACTGGGCTGGTACTGATAAAAGGAGTAAAGGAGGAGTTGCAATCTACATAAGGAACAATTTACATGTAGTCGATGTTTACAGATCTGATCTATACGAAATGATTTGTGTTACCATTCTTCTTCCCTCGGGGCACCGTATGTTAATTTCGGCACTTTACAATCCCCCAAAGCACAATTACCAGGAATGTGATTTAATGAGTCATATTATCAATTTTCTTGACAACACACTGGACAAAGACCCAAACACCGTCTTTGTATGCGGTGGCGACCTCAATCTCCTTGATTTAAATCGCTTACAAAGCATGTCCGGCTGGAAGGCCTTGGTAGATTTCCCGACCAGGGGTGACGCGTGTTTAGATAACTGCTTAACTAATCGCCCAGATTTATTCAACAAGTGTCACCCATTTCAATTGTCAATCAAGACCGATCACACGGCTGTTATTCTCCCTGCTGGTACAAAGTTAAAACCCATCCGATGTAAAGTCCAGATACGGGATTGTAGAGAGAATCGTAAAGCCACACTTTACACCGCGCTGGCGGAGGAAAACTGGGATAATGTGCTCGCTGCTCCTGGTGTTCAGCAAGCGGTTTGTGTATTGGAAGAAAAGATTCGCGGCCATATGGACAGGTGTATGCCGGTCAAAACTGTATCCATGTCGTCACGCGATCCGCCTTGGATGACACCACTCCTTAAGTCAATGATCAGAACGAAGTCTAGAGTTTCTCGTCTGAGCAAAGACAGGCTGTGCATTGTTAATAAAAGAATAGCTGACATCATCTCGGAAAATAGGAGAAAGTTTATGGATGCCCCTCCAGGTAGTCGGGCATGGTGGAAAGGAGTTGATGAATTGTCGCAGCGGCGTCGTGCATCCTGCAAAGTAAACCTGGATAACAGCTGTCTGATGGACTTGAATGATTACTTCGCTAGGCTCTGCTCAGATGATATGTACATAGAACCAACCCCTGTCACAATCAGCAGTGGGATGGAGATCCCGGTAATTTCCGAACGGCAGGTCTGGAATTTACTTAGCGTTCTCAAAAGAACTGCGACTGGACCCGACCAGATTCCTTACTGGGTTTGGAAAGAGCATGCTGAGATTTTCACGCCTCTTATCACCAAAATCTGGAATCTCTCAATCTCTACTCAGTGTTTGCCATCATCGTGGAAGCGTGCGATCATCACCCCCCTCCCCAAAGTGGATGTTCCTAAAGCACATGGTGATTATCGCGGCATTAATATAACTCCTGTTATAGCGAGGGCTTTTGAGAAAATTGTGTACCACTGCTATGCCCGCGAGACAATTGAAAGCCACCTCAGCACCTCACAGTTCGCCTACAGAAAAGGTGGAAACTGTACCGATGCTCTCTTGTCAATTCAACATAGCACCAACAGCTACCTGGATAACCCGGATTGTTAAGCAGTTCGCCTTTTTGCTATGGACTTCAGCAAAGCTTTTGACTCTGTGAAACATGAACTTCTTGCTAGTAAATTAAAAAAGCTCCCACTGAATCCATATATTACCAATTGGTACTTGAACTTTTTAAAGGATAGAAAACAAAGGGTATGTTGTAACAACTTTGAGTGTGACTGGAAACCGGTCAACCAAGGGACAACTCAAGGTAGCGTTAGCGGTCCTTACCTTTTTAATATCTTCCTCAATGATCTTAACATCACTTTAGGTAATCATGACGCGCTATTTAAGTACGCTGATGACTCGACAATTATTGCTCCTGTATGGAAGGAGGTAGACTACTCCTATCAGTTAGTGTCACAGTTTTTAGATTGGACGAATACAAATGGAATGTCTTGCAACCCAAGCAAATGTAAAGAGTTGACGATCAAAAAGAGAGGCAACCACGATCTCTATTCACCCATTGGGATGATACCAAGCTGTAAAGAAGTTGAGACTTTGGGCGTCACCTTCCAATGTGACAGCAAATTTTCAGTGCACGTGAAGAACAAACTTATTAAAGCTAACAAATCCCTACATATCCTTAGAACGCTGCGCAAAGAAGGGTACAATCAGTCAGAAATAGACCTTCTCTTTAATACTATAGTTCTACCTAACATTAATTACGCATTATCTGTCTACGCCGCGTCCGAGTCCGATCTTACACCCGTACAATGTTTCTTAGACCGCTGTTTTAAAAGGAAATATACGTCTAAGCCTGTAAGTGTTTATGATTTCTTAGAGAGGCAAGACCGTAAAATTTTCAAAAAAGTTTTTAATGCCAAAGGACATCCACTTTTATCTATTATGCCTCGTGTTAAACCCTCCAGCTACAATCTTAGAAAAGAAACTAGTTTTAAACCTAAGATTAACACTATGCGCTTTAAAAACTCTTTTATTAATCGTTTAGTTTTTAAATATGAATTAGCTATGTAATATACTAGATATATATACCGGTATATATTTTTTATTTCTTACTTTTTAACTTTTTAAATTTCTTACACTTACTTGTAACAAAAGATATGTATTTTTATCTCTTGATGAATAAAGACTTTATTTATTTATTTATTTTATTTATTAATCGGGGCACCCAACGATGGTTTCCTTTTCAGGCTATCCAGAGTACTTTTTAGATATCTAGAAATGCATTCTAAACGGCGCGTAAAATTTGTATCTGTTTAATTGGTCATCCTTGAGGAACTTGAGTCTTTTCGAAATTACAAAGGCTTGAGTACTATTTTTCCGAAATTTTAGATGAAATTTGACGCATTACGAAAGTGAGAAATTTTCTGATTCCTCTCGTCACCACATTTTTGAAACCGAAAAGTTTAGATTCCTTTTTTCTACGAAAAACAGTCTAACTTGGAAAGTAAAATGTGAAAAATAAAATTTTAGAAAATCGTGGAGAATTTATAAGATAAACTTCGAAAATTGTACGTGAATGGAACGGTCATCTATAAATTTTTAGCCGTCCTCAAGGAATAGAAAATTATAGACAAATTTTAGAGGAAATGTAAGGGCTTTCTTTCCCCAGAGACAAAGAATACCGTCTGTAATAATGATGGTGTCCGTATTAAGCCAGTGTTCGCAAAGCGGATTTCGACTGTACATGGGAGCGTAAATCCACGGATTGACACAAGTTTTAGTGCAGAATCAGAGGGATGTAGCATAAGCTTGTTTCTTTGAAAATATTTCGATAAAAAAAAAACTGCAGAACCATGAACGTGTTATAATTTCATAACTAAACTTATATCAGTTACATGTAACAATACTATTGCTAATTATGTCATATTGTGATTCAAGAATAACTAGTATTCATTTTTGCTAAAAATATATAAATTTCATAATTTTTATCATTTACTGAGACAATTGTCGATGTGTTTGTTGATATCAGAATTTTTCAATCCGCTAGCAAATTTCTCCCCACAAACAGGGCAGCGAATTTCCTTCTCCATTTGGTCCTTAGAATCTTTGTCAGTCCATTTCCCAAACGAAGACAAAATGCTCGATTGCTTCTGTCGCTTAATCGCCCTTGACGGCGCTTCAGAACTAGTTCGTTTCAAAGAGTTCTTTCCTTGAAGGTTCTCTTTCGAAAGGGGTTCCGAAAGGGGTTCCGAAAGGTGGCGCACAAGACCATTACACTTAGCAGCACCTTTGAAAGGTCCTTTATTTTCCGGGAGCTCTTCCTTTTCTCTTCCCTTCGATTTAAAGTATATTGATTTGACTTCCTTCTTACTTACTTTGGTCGTTGCTTGTTTGTGAACCGTGCTGTTTTTGACGTTGTTCTCGATTTCTTGATTTTCGATCTCATTGCAGTCATTTTCCCCGCTCTTTTCCTTAACATCCTGATGTTCTGATGCACTTTTATTACTCTCAGGTGATCGTTCAACAGTCTTCGGTTTAAAGAAATTCTTTATAGTTACAGGAGGAGTAGTAGCCTTAGTTAACGTCCTTTGGTTGATGGGAGTTTCCGCTTCCTCAAACGCTCGGCTGGCTTTTGATGGCTGTCTAAGAGAAGGTTCTGTTGAACTCAAAACACCATTTTGTTTGTCCTAGAAAATAAAGGAAAAAAAACAACAACAACAAAAGATAATCGTTTAAGTCAAAACAATACCTAACCCGGTTCAAAGTTGAAGCCTAGAAGCAGTAGTAAAGCATGATAAAAATTTTAACCAAACTCTCGCTAACGTCCCCACAAACGGGGGCAACGAGAGAAGGCTGAACTCGCAGGTTATTAATAATTTGAAATAAATATCAGATAAGTAACAAGATCATGCTGCGATGTTAAAATAAAACTTATTCTCTGTTGTGTACTACGAAAACCCAGTATCCACAGACAAATAAAATCTTCAGACTTTTTCTTCACGTATAGAGAATTTTGTAAAATATCAACTTTTGGTTACATTTTATTAATTCTTATAACCTTTTCTCTTGGTTACGTATTGATATTATGGATCATTACACGCTTCTGGGAAACTGCCCACCTACCCCTCCCCTAAGCCAACATTTTGGCCTAAGTGAGAAGTACAAAGTCATGTATTTTTCGATGTTATTTTTGATGTTTACATTCACGTGGATAACAGAGAAAGAGCTACAGCCGAATTTAGGAAGAAAAACATAAAAATTCAAAGCGGCGGTGAGACAATGAGAAATGCTAGCGGCCAGCAAGGAATTAACGCCCAGCAAGGTGAAAATGAGGGGCAGTGAAAAATAAAAGCGAACATGAACACAGGAGACAAAATACTGGGTAAGCACATACGACAATTCCTCCATAAAAATAATGTGTAACTAGGAAGTTTGACGATTTAGTCCAACAAAACAGCGTTGTAGTTGTGCAAAACAACGGCAAACAAAGACAAAAAGCGTGCTGCACGTGTAAATTTGTTTTTTTGCTTATTAAATCTATTAAACTTGATGCCATTTTCATTGCCGTCCCCGTTTAGCATTACACGTTTTAATTTTTCTGGTTTATAAGTATTATTAACCAGAGCTTCGCTTTTAGCCCTGGCTAAGTCTATTTAGTAAAATCCAACTAGTGGTCTATTATCAATGCTGCGTTCTGATTAGTTGAGCTACTACTAGGCTATATGTTATAGCCCACTAGTAACGAAAAGCACGGGCTTTTTGGCGGCAAAAAAAGCATTAAAGTCGAGCTTTAACCAGCTAAACCTGTTTTGTCTCGATATTTTTGACCAGCTAGTTGGATTTTATTAAAAAAATTATTCCTCTCGCCCTCATGGCATCTAAGTCGATAGCCCATTTGGCCTTCGGCCTCATGGACTATTGACTCAGAGGCCATGAAGGCGAGAGGAATAATTGTTAAATATTATTGTTAGGAGAAAATTAATGTTGGTCACTCTCGGGTAAGAGGAGTTATTGATGATGACTGAGTGTGGTTATCAATCGTTCAACGCTGCTAAAATTAAGGACCGGTCGGGAACTGTTCTTTAACACGAGTGCTTGGCCAAAAATGTGTGATGAGAATTTTTTACACTTTTCTTTATACAAATCAATATTTACTTACGATAACGGCGTCGAGCAACTTTTGCTCCTTCAGAAACAATGTAGCTTCCGGTATGAGTTGCTCTGGGTAACGCAGACCTACCAGCCGCTGACCGTTATCTAGCTCAACGCGGACTACTCTCAGAGATCGACTTTCCTTGCTGCAACAAAAAGGAAAAAGAAAAACTGCTCGCCGACAAGAACCAAACACAATGACACGACCAAAACTCACGCCTCGGGAACTGAAGTCGCCAGACGGACAAAATATCAACCGCTAAAACATACTGTGAATACATTGTGCGACCATTCACATATAACCTTTTTAGCAGTGCTTCGGCTTTTATAGCGATTCATGCTTTTGATAATCAGTTCTTTTGGAAGCGAAGGGGTTAAGAGTTACTTACCTGAGACCAATTTTATCAGCATTTTTAGCCATGGCCATCTCCAACGCAGACAACAGAGGAATAATTCCACCACACAAAAAATGGATCTGAGTAATGCGACAGCCGGCTGACAAACAAACAAAAACGGGATCTCGTCGAATTATTTACAGTTTCTGGGTCCTTCCCAACCCACCTTAACTCTCGTTTTTCCCTAACGGGTGCTTTAGAAAAAAAACATGGGTTAGGGTTTCGGAGGTTGGGAGTTTTTCCAGAAACGGTGATCGATCCAATGATAAGCCATTTTATGGTGCCGTTTGACTTCATGTAAATATATGTGAAATACCACTCTTGACCACAGAGTGGCCAGTCCATTGCACTATGGGACTGTTTTGCGGGAGAAATTTTAACCCAGTTTCTTGCGCAACCTCGTAAAAGCCAATGAGTGAAGCCATAGCGTCCCAAAAGGGATCAAAGTGCTCTCGACATACCAACAACCTGAACCTGACGCGCAACCTCAAAATGGCCAATACCAAGTAACCATACAAGGTATTGATATTGGGATGCTATTATGCTGTCTTTTCTTTCTAATGAACAGGTCAGGATAGGACAGAATGGAATGGGATGGGATAGGATAGGATAGGATGGGATGGGATAAAGAAAGATAGCATGACCATATCTTAATCATGGACTGCATTACCCATCAACGTTACGTATTTTTTTAAAGATAGCCACTAACAAGTTGATAACTTTTCATTGTATCGTGCTCACTGTAAATTTAAAAAATTCGTTTTATTGCAACTAACTGTGACAATTGTATCGCGCTTTAGGTGTCCCCTATTAGATGAGGGATTCCTCTCTACCAGATATTGTATTGACACGTTCGTAAAGTTTATTCGTTCATTCATTAACAAATTGTCGCAGTTATTCTTTTAAAGAAGGATTAAATCATTTTGTCGAGTCACTTCCTCGTGGTCTCTTAAGGAGACTTCTAAGGAATACACCACTGTAATAAAGTTTTCACTTACTTTTACAATAAGGTCCAGTCTTGCAGCCTAATCCGTGAATACAGTGATCTCTGGTTCTTTCGTACTGTGCTTTCCATCCAGCATCTAATGAATCAAAAGTATACCACAGTATTTAGTTCCTGACCAATCAAAGTAGTTGACATTTTACGAGTTTTACTTTTCGTGTAACCTGTTAAACGATTAGCAAAACATGAAGTTACGACAAAAGAAATGTTTTTATTTAATGGCTTTTATTTTAAAAGCTCTGCAACCACAACGACGACGGCAGCGAGTACGTCAAAAAATTCATTTTATGAACAAAACAATACGGCTCTGCACGTACACCACACTTTTTAGTACATTTCTTTAACGTCCACTGCACGACTACGACGTGAAACCCCCTAAAGCGACGTTTTATGGAGGACGAGACGACGACGAATTTTTATTTATCTTTTTGAAGATAACTACACTTTTTGAGAATTGAGCTCCAGGAATATTCGCCTACCTTTTACAAATTAGGACGGGCTGGCACCCGTGCAGTGTACTAGATTTCAAACAAATCACAGTAAAACACGCGGACAGCACTTCTGATTTCACACGGCTTCCCGGTGGTAGATACAAAAGATAGCCTGACTAGGCCCGCCTCGCTTACCTGCATCTTCCAGTGAAATCCTATTGTACTTGTGCAGAAGATCGGTTTTTTCTTCTTCAAAAGGAGACCGTCCTGTGTTTGGTCTGCACAAAAACAAAACGAAGTAAAAGCGGAAATTATCTTTGGGTAGAAATTCCACAACCGTAATATGTCGCTTATAAGCCCTGGGTTTATACATTTTCTTAAGGGGTTTTAAGAGAGGTAATAAACGAAGGGGCTAATAACCGAAATAGAAAAGGCACTTCGAAACATTCTATACCAGTGCTGAACAAGAAACCTTTAGCATTTACTGGTTTTTAAGCAAGCTTCAAAATGTCATAATAAATCGAATTCATTTTAATTCGTTTGGACGCGCCGGGAGCTTAGATCCTGGGAGGCTTAATCGCATGTACTTTATCGTTTACAGGAAGAAATCACAACTTCAAGTCTCTGAATCTGGTTAATGAAGCATACCGGATTAGTCCAGATGAAACGTTAGAGGGGAAGGTGCTTATTTAAGAGAGAGGGCAGGGCTGTATAGAGGATTTACGGTATTTAAACCAACCAACCAACCTAACATTTGAACTTTTAGGGCGTTCACATCGGTGAAAAGCAGTTTTTCGCCCTTACATTTACCTTGTAATGTTAAAAAGATGGGTGGAAGACTCCTTTTGTATCGCTAGAAGGTAAAGCCGTCTCCCTTTCTGTTCCCTTTTGGAACAATAAAACCCGTCAAACTTGTTTTTTCCATTGTCTTGTAACTGCTTCACTGCTGAATCCCAGCCTATTCCGCGATCAACGTTTACAGTCATGTGTCTGAAAAAAGAAATGAAAATAACTGAGAAGGGATTTTAGGTTATTCCTTCGTATGCATTGCGCATTACTTCACACTTGATAAGCCCACGCCAACAGATCATAACAGGACGCACGCACTTAAAACAAGGCGGCTTTTGCCTTGACACTGGAGTGGAGCTCCCCAGAGAGTTAAATCTTCATTTTCTCGTAAACGAGCATGGTGACCTTTTATTTTTTCTCTTCTTTTAAAATGAGCAGTAACGTTCTTCTTCTTGAATAAATTAAGACTAATTTCTACCGTAGAAAGAGAGACGACCGTCGGAAACGTGTTCAAAACATGTACTCATAAATATTAAAAAATCATAGGGCTGCGTGCAAACGGACGCAACAACTCCCAACATTGTCGCGCCAACAATGTTGGGAGTTGTTGCGTGCATGTTGGCAGTGGTGTGCAAACGGATGCAACAACTCTCAACAATGTTGGGACCTGCAGTACATCGTGGGAAGCATACAACCCATGAGTCTTTGTAAAGCATGCGTAATGAGCGTGCGTGGCCCCAACAATGTTGGAAGAGTTGTGCAAACGGATCCAACATTGTTGTGCTACGTTTCGGCGATCACGGAAGAAAAGAAATGTTGGGAGTCGCTGGCTGAAAAGTTTGACCGGTTTCAAACTTTGCGCAACAACACGCAACAACATCCAACAACATCCAACAGGATGTGCAAACGGACGCAACATGTAACATCCAACAATGTTGGGAGTTGTTGGCCAACAATGTTAAGTTGCGTCCGTTTGCACGGGGCTTAGGTTTATATTAGCTAAACAACAACTTCGCACGTGCATCACACATTTTCCTACATTTCGTTGCCGTCACTACACAACTACGATGTGAAAATGCCTAATTTCACGTTTATGGAGGACGTAAACAAGCGAGAGAGAATTTTTTTCCTTCTCTATTTAAACTTGAGTGCGGTCCCCAAGAAATTCACCCGCTACAGTTTGACATTGTCATTGAACTGGAATAAGCACGCCAAAAAAAAACCACTCAAATTCATTTTGAAAGTGACGTTTTCGCTGCCATCGCCGTCGTTGATGCGGAAGCTCCCTTGGTATCTCAAGGAATCACTGCGCACTTACAAGTTGCTCCCGCTCCAAAACGAGTATGGGGATTGGGGACCCCGCGATTTTATTTCAAACAACATCCAATCGGCAAAGTTTGACAAAAATCTCACTGCAGGTTCTACTACAGAAGAATGACCTTAAGAATTGACTTAATGGTAACTTCAGGCTAAATTTGCAATTGCTTAAATTGCGTTCACGACTGGGAAGGGTCATATCTTCATTAAGACTACTTACTTTGTTTCCATGAGGCCTCTTTGAAAGTCGCTAAAAACAGGCTGGGCAGCGCCGACCATCGTGATTGAAGATCCAGATACGTCTGTCACGCCTTCACTATACCTAAGAATTATCACGCAATATTATTCATTTGTGTCCAGGGTATGAATGCGAGACCAATGTTTTTTCGAGGATGCATGCGACACAAATCTTATCGTGCAAGAGCCAAGCTTTATTGACCCTAAGCTTAATATGAGAGATCGACGCTTCGGGGTGAAGAACTTAGTTTCTTAGAAATTAACTGGTCAGTAACAAAAACAATACTTACCTTCCTTCGCGCTTTGCAGTTTCAATTGCAGCATTTAGGCACTCACAAAAGTACGAGAATAACTACAAATAAAACAGGAGACAATGAAACATTTCTTATGAGACAAAAATCGCAAAGTACTTTGCACAAGGGGTGTGGTCACGTGAGATGTAGCGCAGCAGAAAAGTGGGTGTAAACTGGGTTAGTGAGCTTGGGAAGGCACAAGCGTCTGTTCTATACTAGCGAGCTACCGGTGTAGAGGAGAAAGTTATATATTTGAGATACCGAAGCCGAGTTTGTGGTGTCAGCCATCTCCTCTTCCCTATACCCTGAAGGAGCTAGCGGTAAAATCTGGATATCAGACTCATTCAAAAGTCGAATTCCATGAGCGCTAAAAACGCGACTGATTGAGTAACACCACGAAAATAGAAAACAGAAACAAAAAAGGAAACTCGATAATAGAAAGTCTTAGGGCACTTACAATTTGTCAGAACTGGCTGGCCAGACCAGTACAACCGCCAGGAGAATTCCACTTTTAATCAGGACTATCCGGACAGATCTGTTTATCTCTAAAATGTATGCGCGGCAGTGATGGGTTTTTGGTAAACATTTCATTTTCATTATGACCAGTTTGGCCGGCTAGTTCTGACAAAGATACAAGACGACTGAGAAATCGAACGATAAAAGAAGACTGAGAAATCGATCGATAAAAGAAGACTGAGAAATCGATCGATAAAAGAAGAGTGGGAAATCGATCGATAAAAGAAGACTGAGAAATCGATCGATACAAGAAGACTGAGAAATCGATCGATACAAGAAGACTGAGAAATCGATCGATACAAGAAGACTGAGAAATCGATCGATACAAGAAGACTGAGAAATCGATCAATAAAAGAAGACTGAGAAATCGATCTATACAAGAAGACTGAGAAATCGATCGATAAAAGAAGACTGAGAAATCGATCGATAAAAGAAGACTGAGAAAGCGACAGATAAAAGAAGACTGAGAAATCCATCAATAAAAAAAGACTGAGAAATCGATCGATAAAAGAAGAGTGAGAAATCGATCGATAAAAGAAGAGTGAGAAATCGATCAATAAAAGAAGACTGAGAAATCGATCAATAAAAAAAGAGTGAGAAATCGATCGATAAAAGAAGACTGAGAAATCGATCGATAAAAGAAGACTGAGAAATCGATCGATAAAAGAAGACTGAGAAATCGATCGATAAAAGAAGACTGAGAAATCGATCGATAAAAGAAGACTGAGAAATCGATCGATAAAAGAAGAGTGAGAAATCGATCGATACAAGAAGACTGAGAAATCGATCGATACAAGAAGACTGAGAAATCGATCGATAAAAGAAGAGTGAGAAATCGATCGATAAAAGAAGAGTGAGAAATCGATCGATACAAGAAGACTGAGAAATCGATCGATACAAGAAGAGTGAGAAATCGATCGATAAAAGAAGACTGAGAAATCGATCGATAAAAGAAGAGTGAGAAATCGATCGATACAAGAAGACTGAGAAATCGATCGATACAAGAAGACTGAGAAATCGATCGATACAAGAAGACTGAGAAATCGATCGATAAAAGAAGAGTGAGAAATCGATCGATACAAGAAGACTGAGAAATCGATCGATACAAGAAGACTGAGAAATCGATCGATACAAGAAGACTGAGAAATCGATCGATAAAAGAAGACTGAGAAATCGATCGATAAAAGAAGACTGAGAAATCGATCGATACAAGAAGACTGAGAAATCGATCGATAAAAGAAGACTGAGAAATCGATCGATAAAAGAAGAGGGAGAAATCGATCGATACAAGAAGACTGAGAAATCGATCGATAAAAGAAGACTGAGAAATCGATCGATAAAAAAAGAGTGAGAAATCGATCGATAAAAAAAGAAGAGGAGAAATCGATCGATACAAGAAGACTGAGAAATCGATCGATACAAGAAGACTGAGAAATCGATCGATACAAGAAGACTGAGAAATCGATCGATAAAAGAAGACTGAGAAATCGATCGATAAAAGAAGAGTGAGAAATCGATCGATACAAGAAGACTGAGAAATCGATCAATAAAAGAAGACTGAGAAATCGATCGATAAAAGAAGAGTGAGAAATCGATCGATAAAAGAAGAGTGAGAAATCGATCGATACAAGAAGACTGAGAAATCGATCGATACAAGAAGACTGAGAAATCGATCGATAAAAGAAGAGTGAGAAATCGATCGATAAAAGAAGAGTGAGAAATCGATCGATACAAGAAGACTGAGAAATCGATCGATACAAGAAGAGTGAGAAATCGATCGATAAAAGAAGACTGAGAAATCGATCGATAAAAGAAGAGTGAGAAATCGATCGATACAAGAAGACTGAGAAATCGATCGATAAAAGAAGACTGAGAAATCGATCGATAAAAGAAGAGTGAGAAATCGATCGATAAAAGAAGAGTGAGAAATCGATCGATACAAGAAGACTGAGAAATCGATCGATACAAGAAGACTGAGAAATCGATCGATACAAGAAGACTGAGAAATCGATCGATAAAAGAAGACTGAGAAATCGATCGATAAAAGAAGAGTGAGAAATCGATCGATACAAGAAGACTGAGAAATCGATCGATAAAAGAAGACTGAGAAATCGATCGATAAAAGAAGAGTGAGAAATCGATCGATACAAGAAGACTGAGAAATCGATCGATAAAAGAAGACTGAGAAATCGATCGATAAAAGAAGAGTGAGAAATCGATCGATAAAAGAAGAGTGAGAAATCGATCGATACAAGAAGACTGAGAAATCGATCGATACAAGAAGACTGAGAAATCGATCGATACAAGAAGACTGAGAAATCGATCGATAAAAGAAGACTGAGAAATCGATCGATAAAAGAAGAGTGAGAAATCGATCGATACAAGAAGACTGAGAAATCGATCAATAAAAGAAGACTGAGAAATCGATCGATAAAAGAAGAGTGAGAAATCGATCGATAAAAGAAGAGTGAGAAATCGATCGATACAAGAAGACTGAGAAATCGATCGATACAAGAAGACTGAGAAATCGATCGATAAAAGAAGACTGAGAAATCGATCGATAAAAGAAGAGTGAGAAATCGATCGATACAAGAAGACTGAGAAATCGATCGATACAAGAAGACTGAGAAATCGATCGATAAAAGAAGACTGAGAAATCGATCGATAAAAGAAGACTGAGAAATCGATCGATAAAAGAAGATTGAGAAATCGATCGATCGATCGATACAAGAAGACTGAAAAATCGATCGATAAAAGAAGAGTGGGAAATCGATCGATAAAAGAAGAGTGGGAAATCGACCGATAAAAGAAGACTGAGAAATCGATCAATAAAAGAAGACTGAGAAATCGATCGATACAAGAAGACTGAGAAATCGATCGATAAAAGAAGACTGAGAAATCGATCGATAAAAGAAGACTGAGAAATCGATCGATAAAAGAAGATTGAGAAATCGATCGATCGATCGATACAAGAAGACTGAAAAATCGATCGATAAAAGAAGAGTGGGAAATCGAACGATAAAAGAAGACTGAGAAATCGATCGATAAAAGAAGAGTGAGAAATCGATCGATACAAGAAGACTGAGAAATCGATCAATAAAAGAAGACTGAGAAATCGATCGATAAAAGAAGACTGAGAAATCGATCGATAAAAGAAGAGTGAGAAATCGATCGATACAAGAAGACTGAGAAATCGATCGATACAAGAAGACTGAGAAATCGATCGATACAAGAAGACTGAGAAATCGATCGATTCAAGAAGACTGAGAAATCGATCGATAAAAGAAGAGTGGGAAATCGATCGATAAAAGAAGAGTGGGAAATCGACCGATAAAAGAAGACTGAGAAATCGATCAATAAAAGAAGACTGAGAAATCGATCGATACAAGAAGACTGAGAAATCGATCGATAAAAGAAGACTGAGAAATCGATCGATACAAGAAGAGTGAGAAATCGATCGATAAAAGAAGAGTGGGAAATCGAACGATAAAAGAAGACTGAGAAATCGATCGATAAAAGAAGAGTGAGAAATCGATCGATACAAGAAGACTGAGAAATCGATCAATAAAAGAAGACTGAGAAATCGATCGATAAAAGAAGACTGAGAAATCGATCGATAAAAGAAGAGTGAGAAATCGATCGATACAAGAAGACTGAGAAATCGATCGATACAAGAAGACTGAGAAATCGATCGATACAAGAAGACTGAGAAATCGATCGATTCAAGAAGACTGAGAAATCGATCGATAAAAGAAGAGTGGGAAATCGATCGATAAAAGAAGAGTGGGAAATCGACCGATAAAAGAAGACTGAGAAATCGATCAATAAAAGAAGACTGAGAAATCGATCGATACAAGAAGACTGAGAAATCGATCGATAAAAGAAGACTGAGAAATCGATCGATAAAAGAAGACTGAGAAATCGATCGATAAAAGAAGATTGAGAAATCGATCGATCGATCGATACAAGAAGACTGAAAAATCGATCGATAAAAGAAGAGTGGGAAATCGAACGATAAAAGAAGACTGAGAAATCGATCGATAAAAGAAGAGTGGGAAATCGAACGATAAAAGAAGACTGAGAAATCGACAGATAAAATTCACGACAGCGGTTCAAATAGCAGAAAAAGTTAGGAAACAAGGGTAGTCCCACAACTTCCCCTCAAACGTACGTTTCATTGCCACCAAACAGGAAGGATCTTTGTACTTACCAAATTTTGTCTTTCCACACTAAGACCCAAAATACGGTTGAGAAATTTTCCCACATCGCTGACGTCTTTGTCTTTCACCACGAAACTGGCGTCTGTTACTCCCATGGACAGAAGACATTGCTGTGAAACGAAAGAAAACAGGGCTTTGTTAAACTTGAGAGTAATTCAGTCATTTGGACACCTCGGTAAATGTAATGGACTACCTTTGAGAAAGACTTTCTTCATAAGTAACCACTAATGTGAAACTGGACTACCAATAGCCTACGTCGCATATGTAATCTAACCCCCCCCCCGGGGGGGGTGGTACCTTTTCAGGATTTTTTGGGCGGGGATGTGCCGCCGGGACCCTGTAACCCTTAGCCTATACTAAAGCTAGTGCAGCTGAAGTTTTCTACCCTATGCTGGACTAAAATCTTCAAATCCTCCTATGCTAGAGTCGCTTTTATGCTGAGTTGCATAAATTTAAACTTGCCGATTTGATTTTTTCATATTTTTGAGAGGCAATTCCAGGTAATGTCAGCGAAACAGCGCCGAGATCCTTGTGCTGGGCCCACAACGGAATAAGCGTTTTGCCAGAAGTGCGTTTCCAGTTTCTTTTCAACCTGATTGACTCAAATCCTGGTACACAAGTGGGGCCCAGAACAAGGATTTCGGCGCTTTTTCGTAGACAGACTTAACCAGAGTTTAGTTTCGTCTATGGCGCGGGCTAGACTACCGAACGAAATGGGCGCTTTGTAGTGCTTTAGTCACGTGGTACAAATACGCCATGCTGAGGAGCAAGAAACGCGATGGGACAAGACAAACAAGGAGCTTACATTTTTCCAAATGCTTATTATTATTATAAACAGGCTACTTATGTATCTCCTGTTTCCACAAAGGTTTCCTAAAGCTGCAGAAATTGTTGGTGGTTACAAAATAGCTGTTGGGGTATTGAGTTGCCACTATTGAAGGTCTCTCTAATTTTTCCTATCAAGTCATTTTTTACTGATCGCATTATATGTTATTACAAAATGACGTTTTTCCTTTATCCATTCCCACGTGTTGCCCAAAATTTTTATGAAGCAATATCGCTGCCTAACTGCCATATAAAACTGTCTCTGACATCATAAATTTTGTTTCCAAATCCACTTTTAAGGAGAGAAATTAAACAAGAATTTTAACCACGTTCGCGACCAACGAAGTAAAACTCACCCTTGCGATGGAGTTAAACTCTGTGAATTCATGCTTGTCGGGAATTTGTGCTGCTAACAGAACCTTAGACAAAGCAACTCCGGGACAAATGGATTGCTGAAAAAAAAAGGCAAAATAAGTCCCAAGTTCAAATAAAAAACGCTCGGTCGTACATGACACAAGCAACAAGCACACATGGTTCTAATTCGTGACCACTTCTGACATACCGATACCGTAAAATCTCACGTTAAAACCCTGGGCTTATATAACGTCTTGAGGGGTTTTGGGTAGGCTTATAAATAGGGGCGGGGGGGATTATATCCGGGGGACTTGTATCCGGAATATGTAATATCTTCGTTAGCAAAGAGATGGACTTAGATCCGGGAGAGGGTTTAAAACCGGGGGGTGCTTTAACGTGGGATTTTTAGCAATTATTCCTCGAGCCCGAATGGGCTCTGAGTCAATAGCCTATGAGGCCGAAGGCCGAATGGGCTTTTGACTAAGAGGCAATGAGGGCGAGAGGAATAATTGTTTTAGTAAAATCCAACTAGTTGGTCAAAAATATCGAGAATAAAAAACAATTTAGCTAGTTACTACGCTATTATCTTTTATCCCGAAACAGGCTATCTGACATACCAAAGTAATGGCTTGGTACATGTTCCTGAGTGCAGATCGGCCGTAAGGCGTGTCAAAATTAAACTGCGTTAAGTCGGCCCCAGTCGCTGCTCGTCTGTCACCTTTGGTAAGTGCACCTGCAGGCAAACAAAACAAAAACTTAAAGGGGCTCTGTCATGGCTGTTTAGTTGAATGGATTGATGCTTTTGGCTGGGAAAACAAAAGAAAACCTATGACTTTCTGGCTACCAGTCCAGATGCTCTACCACTGAGCTACAAATGATTAAGGCCACTAAACTAGGTTCACGTGACAAACATCCAGCATGCTGCTAGGACAAGAACGTTCTAAATACAGTCAAAGCTGTCGTAAGCGACCACCCCGTCCATTTGGGTAATCCCAAAAGCGTTCACGGCCGCTTACTGGAGTGGTCGCTTACAAGAGCTTTTTCACTAAATTGTTTAAGTCACTGTCCAAACGGGGTTTCACAAATGTGGTCGTAACTAGACCACGAGAGTGGTCGCATGGAGAGCTTCGACTGTATTCTGCTAGGACTAGTTCTAGACAATCTAGCAGTATTACATACCGGATGTTTGCACATGAACTTAGCTCCAAAACTTCTCCTGTGGCTCAGTGGTAGAGCATCTGGACTAGTAACCAGAATGTCATAAGTTTGACCGCCTACTAGGAGTAATTGGATGTTTTTCTTCCAAGCCGCCTGTGTCACTGACTGAAAAATCATATTTCTCATGTATTCACCAGGCTCAAAATTCACCATCAAGAGTGCAAAGAAAGTAGTGTCCGATAGCTCGGGGCAAATGGATTTTGTTATCAGGCTGGTGAATTCTCTTTTTAACTTGCCCAATAAGCAAGTGATGTCTTTTGAGCAATTCGGATAAAGGAAGAACTGTGAAATCAATTCTGCTGGTCAAAAAGCTTTTAGGGCTAGTTAAAATGATGTCTGGGCTAGTAAATGCTAGCTTCAGCTTGCCCGAATGGCAAGCTATAAAAATGATTTTCTTTGCACCCTGCCATCACATCTCTTATCATATTGCATCAGTACATATCGACATTTTAGTCCTAGAAGTATGCAGGATGTTTGCCACATGGACCTAGTTTAGTGACCTTAGCTCCCACGTGACCCCTGTAGCTTAGTGGTAGAACATCTGGCCGGGCTAGTAAACAGATGATCAAAGTTTTAACTCCTGTTGGATGGGTGTACTCGGATTTTTTCATTTCCAGCCGCCTGTGTCAGACTTAAAAATCATCTTTCTCAAACTAATTACCGCTGATACTTGCAGCTTCTTTGTTTTTATGTCTGATTAGCTTTTTCCTTGCAACTGAGTGAGAATAATTCACAAATACGTCAGATGTTCACGATTTTCCGAGTTTGACAAACATTTAAACATTACCTAACGACTGAAGCCGTCGAGCCACAGCCGCAGCAAATCTTCTTTCACCGCCCAAGTTTGTTGTTACAAGTTTATAGATAGGTCCACTAAAAAAAAAAACAAAACAAAACAAAGAAAACATTAGAGCCAGTAAAACTCTGGAGAAAAGCGGAGCCCCCGAGCGCGCCAATTAGACGGTGAACATTATCACGTGATATCTCCCTCCTCTGACTCCCATGGTACAAAGGGGATTTTGGCGAAAGAAAAGTGATCATGGGAGTAGCCTGTGTAAAGCCGCCCCCTCCCTTTTCCCGATTTTTCCCAAGGGGAGAAGGCGGCTGTACACAGGATATTATGGAAGTAGTGATATTCCAGGAAAGCCTTCAGATTTTTAATCACAAGGAATTTTATTTTTTGTTTTCCTAGACTGTCCAATTCTTGGCAGGGTAACCGCAAAAGCGTGAAGCCAAGTATTGTGCCCCGTGACAGTTCCCTTCCACGTGAGAGATAAACCACACCACAGGAGGTCTACCTCTCACTCTCTTCTCCAACAGCAGTGTGGGTTCTTTTTACGTCCCCTTCGAATTGTTAAGAAAGGATGAATAAGACAAGGCCAATGGATTAACATCACCGCCCACTGACGTGACTATCAGATCATCTGGACTGAGACAAGATCTTAGATAACAGGCAGCATGATATGATCAGTTTTTTGAAGACCCTGGTTGGTGTTGGGTTTAAACGGCGGGTTTAAACCTGCTTGGCAGAACGCTACCCTTCCAACAAGGCTAATCAAGCGGAGGTACAATTAAAAAATGGTAAACGTGCAGCGCGCAACCATTTCCTTCTTCTTTAGGAAATAGCTTATATCAAAGGGATAGGAACGTTTGTGTTTGGGCAGTGCATGTACCTTGTCTGGTTTGACCGGTGTGATCTTCCCAGTTGCTGAACAGCTTTGTCAGCACTCCAAGGCAGCTCAATGGTCACATGAACACGGCGGCACTGATTGGCTGCTCGGAGATCCGCGTGTAACGAGATACCTGTGTAATTCAATGAGTCTTACAAATTATATCACACAGAATATTGTAATATTAAATCATTTGGAAAACAGTCGATGTACCAGGTGGTATACGACCCCAAGTAAATTATCGTCTTGTCTTGTCACTTATACACGTTATTTATTGCGGTTCCTTTTACCTGAGGAAAACCTTTTATTCCTGCTTGAGAAGAACTTTAAGTCAAGAAACATCACTCTAAATTTCGAGTCTCTACACGAAATTCCAAGTAATGGCAACTCAATTGAACGCTAACAGACACTGAGCCAGCGATTCTTTGTGTGAAAATAACTTCAAGGTTGCCCTCAAATTTCAAGTATTAAAAGAATTTAAAAAGTGCAAGGTTTAAACCAGGTAACTTCAAACGAATCAAGATGCAAAGGGAACCTACCAGTGCTGGCGGCATCAGATATGATGGCAACAAGTTTTGTTCCATTCATAAAACTGTTCCTCTGTGATACAATGCAATCGAAAAAACAAGGTTGAATGTTCAGATATACTCAAACAACTCTCTAAAAACTGTGGTATTTAAAGAGGCATTTTTGGAGCTTCAAGCAATTGGTTTATGCCGACTTAGTTGTCATAGCGAAAGCGAAAAATACTGGGGAATGAAACGAAGATCCGAAACCGGATTGCTACCTGAATTTAAGGCATAAGAGTTCAGATTTAGAGTAAGACTTTAAGGTTGGACTACACTTGAAAACTTGTCATCCCAGGAACAACTAACAAACGCAAGCACTAGGCTGTCTTTCTCGCGCTGAAACGACGGTCCTGTTTTTAAATGTAAGGGACATAGGCAGAGTTCATCCTCGGAGACCAAGGGGCAGTCAGCCAGGTCGGCAGAAACGGTGCGACGAGTCGTGCGACGAAAGTTTTCGATCTGGCTGCCTCCTCCAGGGTCTTGGCCGAGGATGACGTCTATGCTGATCACTGTAATTACCGACTGTAAATCGCATTTTCTACCATTTTATTCGGAACACGGCGCAAGATTTAGTTCTGATCCCTTTGCTCACCTCTTGAATATTCAAACCATCCACATTGCTGCTGTCTGATTCTCGAGCCTCGTAATGAGGTTGAGGCTGCTTGTCAGTTTTTACCGCGCGACCACGCCTGCCTGTCATTTCTGCTACTTTTCCTGGCCCTCCGAGCTGGTTTATAAGGTCATCAAGAGGACTAGAGACAAAAATAAGTCAAAAAGGTACGAAGGTAAAGTCTGCGTTCGAGCCAGGTAGCCCACTTGGCCGTAGCACATTCCGATCTCCATAGCATGAAGCGACTAGGAATATTTTTGCTCTTCCTTGGACGGGATAGTAGTCAATAACAGGATCCCTCTTACCTCCACCCAGGATTAAATCTTTTGGTACCCACATTTATACACCTGGGTGGAGTGAGACAGTATATTGTAGTCCATAACAGGATCCCTCCCACCTCCACCCAGGATTAAATCTTTTGGTACCCAAATTTATACACCTGGGTGGAGTGAGACAGTGTATGGTAGTCCATAACATAATCCTTTCCATCCCCACCCAGGATTAATCCCAAAAATAATGCGACAAATTTGTTATTTAAGAATATTTTTAAGCACTGAAACTGGTTTCTGTCGTCTGTTGCAACGGATGGCAAGAATGGACATGGATTTAAACTTGAAAACGTTCTACCAAATTGTTCAAGTTTTAATACTATGCCTGTAACAATCACCAAAAAAAATAGTGGTTAGTGCTCCATGATTAAAAATTTGTGTGCTATTTTCTGTGTAATTCCTCAGGAGCATTTTGTATTTAGGTTAAGGTGCTAAGTAGGGACTCAATGCGCAGCATTGACCTAAAACAGCAAAAGCTCATCCTAGTGAGACAGGCTCTTTAAAAGGGTTTTAAAGAATGTAACATTGATACAAACCTGATTGGGAGATTAATTTTCTTGACAAAACCTTGTAGAAGATTTTTAGCCTGAACACTCCCCTGATCTTCAACAACATCGCCATTCTACACAAAGAACATAATAGCCTTGATTTCTCTCTTTTTTAAAAAAATTTACTTAACTTCACATTACCCGAAACAAAAATAAGGCCGGGAAAGTGAGTAAACAAGAATATTGGACTGGACTTCCGTGGCTTATGAACCATAACAGGAGAAGTACCATCGAATCTTTGAAATGTGGAACGCAGAAAGTGTGGCCTGTAGAGCAAACATTTCTTTTAAACTTAAGCCTAGAGGTACAAATGTCCGCCATCTTGAATCATTTCTTCACTGACGCCAACTGAACAGGTGACTGAACTCTCTGTCAGTTTCAATATTCCCAGATGGCGGGAGAACAGTCACCCTACAAAATACGCCTGCTTTGCAGGTTACAGAAAGTGTATTAAGTAATGTTGAGCATAGAGTGGATTTTCAAAATTATCCATTCGTTGTGTGATGTACCATCCTTGAGATTAGCCTGCAAAGCTGGTGGAATCAGAGCGCAGGAGTGATTTTCAGCGGCGCTGAAGTCGCAAGGGGAAAGAGCAGGGCCGCAAGTGCATCCACTAATAGAACCTACAATGTTATGTGAAACTCTCTATACAATGTGAGGGGTGAACAATTATTTGGTACGTACTTTCTACTAACTTTGCAAGAAGTTCTCAGTGTCCCAAACATTACATTTTAAACACTGGCTGACCTTGAAATAAAGAAATTTTTATGTTATCAGAAACTATAACCCGTTTGGAGTGGATACGACAAAAAATTGGAGAGAAGGAGAAAACAAACCTCTCCAGTGGACTGGAGACCAATGACCACACAATATCCTGCCTGCAATGCTTGCTGGGCTTCTTCCACTATGGTAGGAACTTTCATACTCATGCTGTAAAATATTCATATACATCTTATCTGTTATCAGACCCAATATAAGCAAGGTTACAAAGTAAAAATGCCTGCTGGCGCTTAAAATGGAACATGATACTGGCAAAATTGCCCCATGTGATCATTATACGTTTCTGGGAAACTGCCCACCTACCCTTCCCCTAAGCCAACATCAACACTTACTTCTCACTTAGGGCAAAATGTTAGCTTAAGGGAGGAGTAGGTGGGCAGTTTCCCAGAAACGTATAATGATCCGCCCAGGATCAGGTAATTCGGATTTCGGAATCCAGGAAAAATTTTCGTGTGATAACCGGAATCCTGGACTTTGGAATCCGTAATCCCGCTAACGATTGGAAATCCCAAATCCAAGTTCCAGTGATAACAAATCCGGAATCCACAGCGTGCAATCCAGAATCAAAGACTGTCTTGGATTACGTTACATTGCCACTGTCACGAAGCCGTTCAAAAACTATAATTTCATTCGCTCTACCAGGTACGTAGCTCTACTATTTCAGGGTTAGGGTTTGTTTCCGTTGCTTTTTCATTAATTTCTCACGCAATCCTGGTAGCTGTTCCGAGAGCTCCCAAGCGGCCCACGAATATAGCCATTTCCGAGTTGCCTCAAGCCTCTGTTTCAAAGAGAGGCTAAGTGCGAAGCCATTGATATGAAAATGATTTTTTTAATTCTTATACAAATGAAATTCGTTTACTTTTTTTTAGGTTTTGAACTTAACCTCGCTTGGACATGGGTCGGTGTTGAGTCGAACTGCACTATGGGACTGTTTTGGGGATGAATTTTGACCCAGTTTCCCTCGTAACCTCGTAACATCCAATAAAAAGGCGATAGCGTCTGCAAACAGTCCCACAGTACCATTGGAGACGATACCGATTTAGTCTTACGTACAACTTTAAATAGGCCGATGAACTAGCATCAAGGACAACATTACTGGAAATAAGAAGGCAAAAATGTTAAGGTGAAACTTAAGGTCGACTATTTAAACGAGGTTTAAAAATCAGAGCGCCTCCTTATTCGTTTGTAGGGTATTGATTTTAAGTAGATAAATGGTTTTCTAATTTAGGCTGTCGCCTTCTTGTTGATGTGAACAGCAAACGATGACAAGGTATGAGCGTTAGAACGGTTTTTGTTAAATGACGTTTAAACTTTAATATCCGCCCCTAAAGGACCAGAGACGGGATTAAATACTCACCAGAGCTGTTTGAAGAACCGCTGATGACAGGACCAAAAGACTGACCACACCCTTGGTGTAGAAGGGGTGGTGCGACCAATGGCAAATTCTCATGACTTCTTTAAATCGCTCCTTTAAAGAGAAAAGGAAAAAAGCTGAAACATATTCACACTATGATTGTGAAAGATACACACAACCGTTAATTCTTAGAATACCGACTGTGATTGTTGTTTTGCTTTTGCTTTGACTCAAACAAACGCACAAGTTTTGAGTGCAATTTCTACGAAATCGCATAAGTTAATCCCGGAGCCCTGGTACAAGAAACCACTGAATGATTCCATCTTAAGTTGTGGTCTACTTAAAGCAGTTAATACGAAGATTTAACCTTTTTACATTGCCATACGTACCAAACGTGAACTGCAGTGTCATAAACCTTTCTCTGTTCCGCAGTCAGTGTCGCCTCAACATTAACAAACTGCAGAAATGCGACAAAAAAGCATTATCAAAGTCTGTTAACAAAAAAGGAACAGAAGTGAAGTAATAAGCACTGCAAAAAAAGCCTTATATTTCAGTATGATAGGAAAACTTGTGCTTACAACAGAAAATTACGATGCCATTTCTAAAATAATGCATTACCTCAGCCTGTCTGAAACTAAGGCCTCTAGAAACGTACATTCCTGATGCCTTCATTTCCATAGCTAACATTTCAGAAGCACCTGGAAAAATTTTAAATATTAGTGACCTTGAGATACATCGTTTCTGCCAATGGAGAAGTGTAAGCTCCTGTTCCAGGAGTTCAGATTGTGAGGACGATGCAAGGAGATGTGTGCAGAAAAAACAGCGAGGAGTGGGGTAAGGAGTGAGGGCGAAATTCCTTCCTCTCTCTCCCTCTTTGTCCTTTTTTTCTTCCTGTTCTCTAGGCTGAAAACTATGCCACTTACCAAGACCTCTCTTGGTTATGCTGGCTAGAAAAGAATCAAACGATTTAAATGCTGCTCCATCTCCCCATAAACCAAGTCTCTCCATAAATGCCTGAAAATAATCAAATCACTGTATCAGTGTACTGTATTGATTGACCATTGGACTGAATGGGAACATGGTCAGAAACCTAAGGCTTCTAAACGTGGTTGCCGTCATAATCTCTCAGCAATTATTGTGGGGTTTAAAAACTTCATGCAACACTCAGTGAAGAGTCTTTGTGCTCTTCTACTGAGTACCTAGAAATCATGTACCTTGAACCAGAGTTTAATACCATCAACTGAGGTGATACAACTGACTTTGACCCTGACACCCTGTCCACACGTATCCGGATATTTTCGAAAATGGGGATTTTTTTCTCGATTTTCAAAAAAAAAAATAGGCGTCTACATGAATCGTATTTGAATCGTTTTCGCCTGTCCACATGAAAACCCTAAAACAATGGAAATACGATAGCAGCCCTTACAGAGCATGCGTAATGCTAGTAGTATATGGTGCATGACATAATCGTGTTCACAAATCTCCGTTTTCGACCGCCCACTTTAAACGAGAAGCCAGCGTTTTAAAAAATCTCCACTACGGGTCTGTTTTTGAAAAGGCCGTTTATGTGTGGATGGACGCAAGAATGGAGAAGAAAGTCTTCATTTTCAAAACTATCCGGATACATGTGGATAGGGCCTGAAGACCTGTCAAAACGTCAATCACTGTCAACAACAGTCCTGTTCAGTACACTCATCCCGACGATCATATAATTAATGTCGGCTGCATCTAAGGGTGTACACGTGAGAAAAAAACATGTTCTGATTGGCTACAAACTTACCTTTGGCTTGACAGTTTGCGTTAACGGCTGTCAAACTTCAGATGTTTGGCGGCAAAACACGTCATGTCTGGCGCTCTATTAGAACATGTTTTTTTTGTCTCGTGTCCACGCTCAGATGCAACCGACGGTATTTCGCCTTAAAAAATCTTTGTTCCCAGGTACAAGATCAAGTCGCAAGATCAAGTTTCACTTTAAAGTTTTAACTTTGTACAGTGGCATAACATAAGATGCTAACTGCGTACAGCGTACTTTTAAAAGGTACATGCCAACCTTTACTTAGTGCACTGTTTGCGAAAAACTAGTTGAATACCTTTTAATAGTAACATGCTGTTTCCTGACACTCAGTCAAAATCACGTTATTGTCAATTATATAAAAATAATACTTCACTCTACACCTACCATATTTTTTACATCTGTCACACCAGTTGCACTACAGTACACAACACGAGCTTTGGGTAGCATTCTATGAAGTGAAAAAAGAATAAATCTGTAAAGAAGAGAAAATTTGGGCACAGCAGTTACTGTAGGGGAGGGGGGGGGGGGAACTCTGTAGAGACGGTGAGGAGGTCAGGTATAGAGATTTAACAATTATTCCACAAGTGCGTGTTGGATATGAGTTGGCTATAATTATCTCATATCCTATAAGCTTCAGTGAAATAATTGTTTTATTAAAAACGCCCGCAAAATATCGAGAATTCTTCCTGACTTTATTTGTAAAAACAACCGATTTTCAGCTCGTTTTTAATATTGAGAAGACGCGTTCGGTTACTTTTAATTAATTATTTGCAGAGCATGGTACAATGGCTCACCTACCATGATGGCTAAGCCAACAGAGCTCTAGAATTGCATTATCCAATGATTCAGTTTTTAATAATAACTATTACATATTCTAATATTTGTATTGAAGGGTGCGCGGAACAACGCCCTTAGTGACACTTGACATGATATCAAATCCTCCTTTCATATAAAATGTACATGTGCAAATGAATGGAGTTTGCCAAATGTCCCTTAGGGTTTTATTCCATGCTCATTAGGCCCGTAGCCAGGATTGTTTACGGGGAGGTGTGATTCAACAAGCAGACAGACCAAACGAGGCCAGGGGGGGATTAGGTTGACTGAGACTGCATTTAGAGCGTTTTTAAGGCAGTATGACGGTATGATATAAGAACATGCAGCCAAAAGCGAACTGTGGATATTTCACAAAATTTTTGAACTTCAAAATTGATACTTTTGGCAGAGCCTTCCTTATGTATGTATTTTAAAAAGTGCACCTCCAGAGCCTGAGTGGGGAGCTCAAGGGGGGTGGGGGGTGGGGGGTGGGGGTGGGCGAGCTCACTTGTCACACCTCCCCTCCCAACGTTTCTGGCATCAACCCTGGGAATTGAACTCGAGCTGCATTGGTGGGAGGCAAGTGCTCGATCACAACTGCTCCATCCCTGCTCCCTGCTTCTTTCAAATTGTAAAATTATTAGCACCTTAATTATTACATAAGAGTGTTAATTACATGCTGACAATTGATATTCAAAAATGAAGTCAAATAACTTTATCATACCCTTGTATTGTTGTGACAGCAAGAGCAACTTTTATGCTGGATTCTTCTTTGCCCTAAAATGAAATAAGCTACAGTGAGCAGAGTACTTAGTTGAATCCATGACTTGTAACATCTGTCGCTGGTGTCAATATGCATCACTGGTCAGTGAATTTGTGTGGAGAGTGTAATGGTTGTGCATTTATTAATGAGTGTAACAAGACCAATTCCATTCTAAAGAAACCCAGTGCCCAGCCATGCTTTATGCGAACTGTATGTAATGTAAAGGGAACACAAACTGTTGTCCTCTCATCCACTTCATACGAAACGTAACTTGTATAATGATGATCAGATAGTGGCAGTTTCTAATAAACCATTTTTTTTTCCCTTTAATAAGGGATTTACATGTATTTGTTGCAGTTACAAATACAAAGAATAAGGGCTAAACTAACAAGAACAAAATACAACTTACAAGAACAAAATGCTTTGCTTTATGACACTCGTCAAATATGAGGCATCCATTAAACTGCTCACCACCACACCAGTCTATGAGCTGTTGCAATCTGCTCTGACGATTGGCACCTGTCCAAAAAAAAAATTATAAAACAGATCAACAAAAACAGGAACCTTGTCTATTGTCAGTGATAGATGACATTCACACTACACGCTCACCTTTTTGAACAGACGACACCAGTGTTGCATATGTACTGAAGACAACACCCTCTTTAAAATCAGCAGGTAAGCCAAATACTCTGTGAAACAAAATAATGTCAATAGTATTGGATTTGTTTCAAAATTCCAGCTGATCTATAATTATTGTCAAAGAAATCAAAGAATATTGCTTCTAAAGAGAGGAGATGTGTGATGCCATGTTACCATGGAAGCAAAATTTCTGGATCTCAACAACAATCTTCCTTGACAGAGACGGATGGCCATGTATTGTCAAATGATGGAAGGAAAATACTAGCCACCCTTTCATACTTAAGTGCAATAATGCACAAAAATTTTTTTCTTGTTGTTTTTTCCCCACCATATTGGCAGGACCACGGTTTGTTCAGAGCCAGAAATTTTGCTACCATGGTAGTGTGACTTCTCCTTTCTTTTACACTGTAGGAAGCAATAGTTGGCTTGGAAAGATTTTGGATCAAATTATCACTTGGGGAAAAAATAATACACCTGAATTGAAGGAAAATGAAAATTAATGCAACTTGCATGCACAGATTGGTTTGACAAAGAACTCTTAAAAAATAATTATTAAGAAAAGGAATTTATGTACCTTGTCCAAGAATATATTGTGTTACATAATGATAACAACAGACACCAGCCCGTGTAGATAACTTGTAGTATTCAGAGAAAAATTCCAAAAGAGAGAGAACTCTGAGCATTTCATCAAAAATTGAGATTCTGGAAGACAGACGTTGAGAGAATTGTTTCTGAAATTTAACAAGATTTAAGACAAAAAGGCAGGGGAGGGCATGGCCCTTCTAGCCCCACTCTAAATAATGTACCCGTGGTATTCGAGTTTGTGTACCTGGTTTCTTTATCCAGCTGCTGACAACCGTCTATCACTTTGACAAAACAACCAATGTCATGTAAATCTCTGACAAATGAAAAGCAATAAGAAATTTGTCAGTTTCTAGGGTTGTAGTATTTTACAGCTATACAGAGATAGCAATCACCAGCATCCCTGATTTCATAACAAACTGCTATAGGGATTCACATCATGAAAAATCTGTCACAGTCCAGAATCAGTGAATCCAAATCCAAATCCAAAGCCGATTTTA